AGCACCTCTGAAAGGATCTCAATTCACCCCAGGGTGCAATGGCACCCTAGTTGAGGATCACTGGTCTAATATCCGGTAGCCCACTCTGCTTTCAATACATAGCCAGGTGTCCTTGATATTCATCTTTAAGGCCTATCATGTGGCTAATATTCTTTCATCCCCCATAATGATCTTTCCCAAATCTGCCCTTTATAATAGGCTTTAATTTCCAGTGGCAGAAATGACAGCATGCTCCTAGAAGCAAGCACTTGCTATTCTTGGAATCATCTGTTATCAGCCAGCTTGTGTTCTGACAAGAGTTCTTGGTGACCTACATGACCTACAGTTTCCTGCCATCTGACAGACTGTCTGGTATTCCAGCTACGACTATTTTGTGCTTCCTATGCAAGGTATTCTTGCCTGGAATCTTGTACTTCTATTATGTAGGGTTCTAGGAACATTTGGCCAGGAGTTTGAAGTCAGTCTTTTATTGGCTTCCGTGTTGTTTGGATCATAGTCCTGGCTCTAGGACAGCTGACTACACACAAAAGTCTCAACCAAAGAAAATAAAAGGGGAAGAAAGGATCACAATACTGAGAAAGCAATGAGGAACTGAACTCAATTTCAGGTACAGGGGAACAATAGCTCTGTTCCTAAAGCTAGTTATATCACGAAGTGGCAATTTACCAGCAGGGGAAAAAATATCCGAGAAAGTAATATATATCCATTCATATTGGTTCTTGAGGTACCTAGATAATTTGTTTCTGCCCTGGAATATTTATTTCAAGAAATCACACAAGCAATTTTAAAATGTATTCCTCTAGTACTAATTTTTGAAGAATCCACTAATGTGTTTTACCCTGCCAGTAAGTGCCTGTGCTTACTCATTGTACGATATGCAAATTTTGCACCTGCAGGGAATTGCTTGTACCTTTTAGTACTGATGGTGGGAGGCCTGACAATTCCACAGGGTTGTTATTCAGTACTTCACATAAATTACCGCTTTCTTGAGCTCTATGAAACTACTTTAAAAAAAGAACAAAACAGAGCAACATTTTAGGTGTGGAAAAATCATTGGAAAGGGCACCTGAAAGAAGCATGTGATAGGGTGAAGTTACAAGTTCCACTTAGACCAGGGGTGGGCAGTCTGGCCCGCAGGCTGGATCAGGCCTGCAACTATTTTGCAACAGCCCCTGTGGTGGCAGCTCCTTCTGGTGGTGGCCACTGGACCCAGCCCTGTTGCTGGGGCTCCCAGCCCATCCACCCTGTACCCACCGCCAGGGGCAGGACCCATGCAGGCAGGGTGCATGGCCAAGATGGGGCTGTGGTTGGGAGTGAGATGGGCAGGCAGGGCCCAGGAGACCCTGAGGGGCCAGGGCCAAGGCAAAGCTGTGATCTGCTGCCCACATGCCCCTGCAATGAGTGTGGATTCCATGGGCAGTGCCATGCAGGGAGTGGATTGCAGCTCTGCTTCACCTCCGGCCCCGCACTGTCAATGCACAAGGTCCCAGCCCAGCCATATGCCCTTCCCACAATGCACCATGGAGACCCCAGGAGCACAGGACCATGACAGTGTGGGGCCATGACAATGCAGGGCAAGGCTGGGGCAGAGCCCTGACTCTGTGGCCCCACGCTGTCACGGCCCTGCTGCTCCCAGGATCAACATGTGAGCCATGTGGGCAGGGGCTGCTGGGAAATGGAATCTGGCTGCTCTCTGGATCCACCATTTTTCCCACCCCTAACTTAGACAATACTAAGGGCACTGAAGACATGAGCATTGCATATTAAAAGCTGAATTCATGCTAAGTGCCCCGCGAGCATCTCAAAGTTATACCACTTTAGGTGAAGTTTAACTCTGGGCCATCCTGCCTAGCTTGTTATGGTAACTTCAGTCCACTGCAGGGATGAAACAAGCAACTAGAAGTCCTCCAGCACCCCCGGATGCACTGCTCCCAAGGCCCCACTGCTCCCAAGGCCCCACTCCTCCCCCTCCAACAGGACTAGAGCTGTGTGTTGGTTCCTAGCTATGTCCCTCAACCCTTTAGAGCTGTGCAGGCAAGAAACTGTGTTAATCCTTTATGTCTGACTGCTCACAGCATGTTCTAACTTTGATGCCATATAGCTCATAATAAATCTATGAAATGTTAAGTGTAACTTCACCCTCAGAGAGAAGTGAGGGGAGGATGGCATTTCAATGAAAAAACATTGTATTGGAAAGCTTGTCTCACTTTATCCCAAATAGGATGATCAACTTTTCAAAATGGAAAGGTGGGACACATACCTGCCTTCCTCCCTCCCTGCCCTTCTCCCTGCTGGCAGCACGGCTGGAGGAGAGCCGAACAGAGCAAGGGTGGATGTGGGCTGCCTACTGTGGGCTCTCGGCTCTCTGCCCTGGTGCCTTTCCTCTGGGAGTCCCGCACCAGCTGCAGGCCCCCTGCCAGCCTGGCAGCAGCAGGGGGCACAACTCCATGCCACTGCCACCCCCACTGTTACTGGGTGGGCAGGGGGTGCCTCGCCATGGTGGCACAGCCAGTGTGGGGCTTCTGGGGGAACAGCAGCAGGGCAGGGAGCCCAGAGTCTGCAGCAGGCAGCCAGCATCCGCCCCTACCTCATGCACAAATCTGGGGAGGCAGGTTCCTTGCCCCCCATGCCTTCCACTCCCTGGATGAGCCAGCTGTGGTTCTGTCCTGCTCCATGCCCCAGCCCCATGACTGTCCTGGCTGGGTAGCACCCCAAGCCCCACTCGCCCCCTCACTGTGGGGGGGCCGCCCACCCCCCCCCCCCCCCCCCCCCCAATAGACTTACTTGCAAGGAGCTGCTCTCCATGCTGCCTGGTTATATTCCCAGACACTTGCATGAGTGCGGGAGTGCATATGCACGTGGTACCCCCTGTGCAGTGGCAGATTAAGATTTATTGTGGCCCTGGGCAAACAGAAAATTGGAGGCCCCCATCAGGCAAGGGTAGGTTTCCTCTGCGCCCACCAGGGTGCTGTGGCTGGGCCTAGCCAGCCTCCTCAGCACATCCGGAGCAAGCCAGGGGGCGAGTGCCGTTGAAGTAAAGGCAGCCCAGCCCTGACCTATCCCAGACCCTCCACCTAGTGGGTGTCAAGCAGCTAGGCTGGGGCTGACTTGGGGCAAGGCACTGGCTCCATGCCACCCCTAGCTGCCTGCCAGTCCCTCTGTTGGCCCTGGGGAGCGGGACTGTCCTATCCTGTTCCAGTGGCGTTGGGGCTGGCAGCCACCCACAGATGGCAGAGAGTGGGAGCAGGAGCAGGGCTGCCCATAGGGCCCCCTGGCAACAAGTGACCCTGGGAAGCCACCACCACCTGCATGAAGCCCTGTGCCCACTGCTCTAGCCTCTGGCTCTGGCCCAGCCACAGGGGAGGAGGCACACACTGCCTCCCCCAGATGCCCACGGCTAGAATGCCTGCATGGGCCATGCTGCCAGTGGCACCCCAGGGAGTCCCTGTTTGGCAGGGGCCCCATGCATTAATCCGCCTGTGCCCCTATGTCCTGCTCCTGGCAGCCCCTTGCAGGCTGGAATACCCGTTGTTTCCCGTGGATTCCTGCACAATGCTGTAAATCTGGGACAAATGCTGTTCTGGAGTCATGCAGGGACTGGGATTTGAGGTTCCCATTCCAGGACTGTCCTGCCCAATTAGGGATGGGTGGTGTCTCTAACCCCAAAGAACAAGTATCACTCCTCCAAAAATACTTGCTTTTTTGCCAATAAGGAAATGGGCAGACTAATCTGAACCCAGCAACATGGGAGAAAGCGAGAGAATGAGTAACAGATATGAAGGGAACACCAAAAGACAGGTTAGGAAGAACAGGAAAAAAGGAACAGTTGTCACATGAACTGAGCTACAGCTGTTCAGAGCAGCGAAGGTAAAAGATGTGGATTTCAGGCAACAAGAGGAGAAAACTATCAAGAGAATCTGTAATGGACCAGGGGCATTGGCAGCCTGGCCTAATGGCTAGGCCATGGAGGGAAAGCAGGGCCTTTCACTGTGTCAAAGGCCAGGAGCCATATACCAAGCTAGAGGGAGAGCCATCCAGAGGCAGGGTCCACAACACAGCCCAGAGCCAGGACCTGGCGGGGATCAGATGTAGGGTTGCCAGCCCTCTCCGATTGGCCGGGAGTCTACCAGAATCGGCATCGATCTTCCCGTGACTACAGAAAGCAATCTGGGAGTTGGATATTGTGAATGGGTTGAATGGTAGAAAACAAAATCTCTTGGAATAGCTTCAGCCAGAGTTGGCAACCCTAGTCAGATGTCAAGTACCAATCTGGGAGGAAATCCACCAGGCAAAGTCCAAAAGCAGAGACAAACTAGCGCCAGGAAATAGAACTGCAGGAGGGTCCAGGGTCCAGCAGGCTTGCTATGGCCAAACTGGTGACTGACCTGCAGACACAGAGCCCCAGCTGGTACTGTATAGATAGGTGGTGCTCCCCACAGCCAATGCACAGGCTTCCTGCTCCTAAATTGGGGCAGAGTTCATTAGCTGCTGCTGTTCTGGGCCCTGGCTGGCCTGCTTGCTCAGCCTCCTTGGCAGTCATGGCCAGAAGCCCTCAGTGACCTTCCCTGGGCAGACAGGACCAGACTGCAAAGCAGCAGTGGTTGCAGACAGGGCAAGGGGATACCAACCCGGCTGCAAGCAACTGGGCAGTTCCAACTGGGAGGGAAAAAACACCCGCAGGGGAAAAAGAAGAAGAGCAAGGAAGGGGCTGTGGCCGTGCCCACCCACCTGTCCCAATGGCTGCCCCTTGCCTGCCCACCGCCCTCCACGCTCATGGCGCAACTCCCCAGCCAGCTGCATGTGGGCAGCTGCGGCCTTACAGAGCCGGCCGGCAGTCACGGAACAGCCGCCCGAAAGCCAAGCCTGTGACCGGCTGCATTGAACTTCACCCAACGGTGGGGGCGGGGTAGGAGGGGCCTGACACCACGTGCATGGCCGACCACGTGGTGGCCGCGCCGAGGGGGGCGGGGCCCCTCGCGTCTGCATCTGTCTGCGCCCGGGGGGCAGCGGGGCAGAACGCGGGAGCTGCGTTCGTTTTGGCTCCCGGCAGCCGCCGTAGCCTGGAACCGGAAGTGTCGCACTGGAGCCGGCGTCGCGATGGAGTTCTCTGAGGAGACGCTCAGGAAGCAGTTGGGCAAGGTGTGCGCGCCCCCCGCTCCGGCCCTGGTGGGGGGGCGCAAGGCAGGAGAGAATGTGGCACGGCGTGGCGCCGTGATGTGCTGCGCTCAGACGTCACAGAGCTGCGTGCCCCGCTCCACCCTTGTCAGGCTTATGTGGGGCGGGGGAGGGTCCGCTCCCCAGCCGCGCATGCGCAGAGCTGCGAGCCGTCGGCTCGGCTTTGGGGGGGGGGGTTGTGACGTTGCTGTGGCGGGCGCGCGTTTCTTGATGATGAATGGAGCCATAGGAGGATCTTTTCTAGTTCCTGCACACAACATATAAGGATCTAGCCCCTTTCTGGTTGCTTCCAACATCCTCTGTTCAATTCCAGTAGCTGCCCCTCATTAGTGGGGCTCCTCCAGTGCCGAGACAACCCGCTCGCCAGTACCGGCTGGCCCTTCTTGCAAGGCCTGTAGGACTCGGGATGTTGTTTACAATTTCCCTGCTCTCCAGCCTGACAGAGGCTGACCCAGCAGCTCACAGCTTTGTGCATGTGTGCGGGGGGGCACTGCCCCGCAGCCCCGCAAACACTGGGAGGGGAGTTTGGTCTCATGATGCATGTGCACAAGGAGTGGAGGGAGCAGTGATGCCCAATGTTGAGTGAAATCTAGGCTAATTCGAGGTAGTTGGCCTTTGAGCTGCTCATGTAAACCATTGTCTCGGCCTGCTCTGATGCAAATCAAAACCCTGATATGATCAGCCTGGAATTAAACTGTTCATCTGGTTCTAGCCTCTGATCCTTTTTTATGATGCTGGATTTTGACAGCTTCCTTGTTCCTCCTCCCCGGCTTCTCTGCTCACAAGGGTGAGGCCAAACCCAACAACAGCTTAGTTTTGATGGTGGTGCCCTGTCCTCAGGCCAGCAGAAAAAGAAACAGCGATATGTGGACTTCTCTGGATTCAGCTGCTGTGTTTATCCCTTTCAGTCTCTTCAACCCACCTTCCTCTCTCTCAGTAGCGCCCCCTCTCCCCATCCTTTCCTTCTCATTTCCCTATCCTGTGTATTCATAAGACTTTCTCTGTAGTATTCCAGTAACCCCTGCCCCCGTCCTGTCCTTCCCTTTCCCTGTCATTTGTATTCATACAACTTTCTCTTTAGTATCCCTGCTCTCTGCAAGACCATTGGGAGTGTTTGAGGAAGTAGACTGTAGCATCTGGCTAAAAATAGATGGTGAGTTTATTTGAATTTAGGTCTGATTTGATTTGAATTAAAATAAGGGGCGGGGGAGGGGGGCAGTTGTTTACACACAGCTTGAATGGCAGTTAATGTGAATTGGCCAGGGTTGTCCTTGGACAAAATGTTAATTCAGATACTTCAAAGATACTTATCATGGATCAGTGGGCTAAAAGTAGACAACCGGTTTGTTTAATCTTGTGAGATATGACCCATTGTAAGAGGGATGGGACAGCCCTTTATATTGGAGGTTTAAATGGCAGTTATCGGATTAGCTGGGATTGTTCCCACACAAAGTGTTAATTCAGATACTTCAAAGATACTTAATGTTTCAAATCTGATTCAAAACCAGGCTCATGGTTTATTCAAGGAGTTGTGATCCCTGCCTTATTGTATGGATCTGAGCCATGGACACCGTACAGGATGTGCGGGCCGGGAGCGGTCTGAGGCCTTCGGGGGCGCGCGGCGGGCTGTGGCCAGCAGCACTGGCACGCGGGTCGGGGAATGCAGGCCGGCGGACTAGAATTAGGCACGGACGCGTAGCGGTTGATTAAAGATTATTTTACTTACACCGTAGATGGTCGCGGTGCAGGCAGGAAAAACTTGCTTGCGTTGCAGTTACAGACAGACACGTGGAGTTTGCTAGGCTCCACAACGTGAACTCGAACAAGACCCACAGAAAACTCGAGCCTCTTGAAATAACTCGGACAGAGCTCTGGATACATACACACACACACACACACACACACACACACACAAAGCTTGCTAGGCTCCGTGGAACAAGTGCGCAGCGAAGGGGTTCGTCGAGGGATTGCGCTCGGCGACGGGGAGAGGCCAGAGGTTGATCAGACCCCTATAGCCTTCTTAAGGCACACGCTGGGTCCGTTGGGCTCTGCAGCGCTTAGAGTTCTTCACGAGACGTGAAGTCGTCCTCCTCCACGAGATGGTTGTGGAGTCCTCCAACTTGGGCGGAAACTGCTCAAGCCTC